CAATATTAATTTATATCTCATATTGGATCTAGTAAATAGGTATCTTATAGTTTTCTTGATTAATACGAATTGAAGAAATATAATTCTAAGGTACATTCCATAACAATGACACACGATGCTTTTTTTCTTCTTCTATTAAAATGTTTAGCTGTAAAACTATATTTGAAGTTTAGTAAAATTTGAGACTTCAAAAAACAAAATATATTGACTTATCTCTTAAGATTCATGTAAAACAATACGGTAGATTATAAAGTTCAAGATCAAAATAGAAAAATAAAGTAATAAAATGAAAAAATATTTTTAATATAATAAAATTTCATACATAAATGAAAAGTACTCTTCTCACTTTCCCTTTAAATTTCTTCCTTTCCTTTTGTTCTCTATACACTCATGCACAAGAATGTTCTAGTAAAACGACAGCAAAATGTGTTCTCTTATGTTTTCTATACAAGAAATAAATTCAAAATGAAAACTTACCGAAAATGTAATGAGATAGAAAGATATAGGGAGATCATTGTAATATATCATTACGAACATATGAATCATCTCCAAGAGCAAAGTAAAACAAAACATAACACAGACTACATGTTAATATGTATCTGATCTTTACCTTACTAGAACCTAGCCTAATATCATCTTACAAATGAACTAATATGCATATCTTAAAATAAAAATTAATAATACATTTAATATATAATAATTTTCTATAATAAATCAAACAATTTTCTACTACAAAACTTAAAATGGTTATTAAGTTGCTTTTAAATTTCGGGGATGTTACAATATAAAAGATCTAAAATTGATTTGAATGTTATTTAGTTTTCACCTTAATAACTTTTCATATTAAAATTTAGTTCGTTATAAATATACTAACATGTAATCATCAACAATAGATGTATCGACATTAAGAAACTAAATAATTTTTTATTATTGCACACTAAAGGAAAATAAATAGGACCGATATGCACAATCTATTTTAACCATATTTATAGTTATTTCGAAATTTTATAAATCAATAGAAAATATGAATAATTAAAGCACGATTCGGAATAATACATCCACATGGTTTATCTCCTAATGAAAAATTAAGTATTTCCTTTTAAAATATTTTTTAAATTATACTTTCTACATAAGGATAATATTATGAATTTTAAATATCGAGTCTTTCCATCCATGGTTAATTTATGTTTTATCAATTTTATTTTGTTATTCTTAATTTAGAAACCAACATGAAACTCGAAACCAATAAACAAACTAAATAAGTATCGACTAACAAGTAAACTGAAGCGGTTGCACTTAGCCATAAGCAGTTTAATACCGCCAAAACATATACAAAGACAAGTAATTTTCTGAAAGAGGGGCTATGATTTTAAATCCCAAATTTAAATTTCTTAATGGAAAAAAAATAAAAATTATTTGGCCTAAAATTGTTTAGAAACCAATATAGGTATAACGTAAAATGAACTAGCAATTTCTTAATAATCTTAACACCTTTCGTGTGTAACTACCTCCTTAAATATCCAAGCTAACCGAGTTTCATTGAACCAGAATAATATAATAACAAATTGTTGTTTATATACAAATATCTCTCATTTATCGATCACTTTCAATATTCAATTCACTTTACCACATATCTCAATCTCTCTATTGAAACAAAATGCAGAAAACAAACTCAAATATAGAGATGTTAAGGGTGCAAGCACTATCAATTCTTTGTACACCTCGCCCTTTCCATGATTTTACTTGCTTATCTCCAATTCAAGATAAACTTGATCCATTTTGTGGCATAAAAGACCAAATAAGTGACGATGGATCTTTCGGTTTTGATAACTTTGCTTTCATTCAATATAATCCTGATTCATATTGTTGCACAAAAAACCAAATTAACAACAAAATTATTTTAGATTTTGAAGTCTTTGCTCCAGTTCAAGAAAAATCTGAATCGCGTCGTAGCACCAATCAACAAATTCAAAAAAGTGATGAAGAAAATAATGAAGAACAAGAATTTAGTTTTGCATGCACTGATGTCCAAGGAATGCATATATTTGCCGAGGACATATTTGAAAGTGGAAAAATACGAGCATTACTCCCTACTTTTGACCAATCCCTTCAATTCTTCCCCACCACAAATAACAATGCTTCACATCCTCGACCTTCGCTAAAGAACATCTTTATTAAGAATCCCATAAATCAACAATCAACATTGAGTGGTATTTCCAAAGAAACTCAATATGAGATATTGCACAATATTACAACGAAGGCTTCAAGTGAGTCTTATGAGAAAAGCAACTCCTCAGGGTCATCGAATCTATGGAGATTTAGACAAAATTTATATCTTCGAAGTAATAGTGACCATAAGGATTCTTTTGTTATATTGAATCCTTCAGTGCCAAAAAAGACAATCAAGCCCAAGGTAGAAAACGTCATTGTTAAAAAGAAGAAGGGTGAACAACCCCAAAATACTTTAACGGCTTATGAGAAGCTTTATGTGAAAAATAAAACAAGAAATGGGAGCAATAAACGGAGATCATTTTTGCCATACAAAAACCAGCTATTCGGATTCTTCACCAACATGTACGGATTAAGTAGAAACCTGCACCCCTTTTAAGATCGAATTACCAACTTTTTTAATTGTTGAGGAATCATCTAATTTTGACAATGTAGATTAGTTTTTGTTGAGGAATCATCTAATAATTAGATAATAAGCTTTAGGATTTATTTTTCTCTTGATAAAAAATCAAGTGCTTATACTTCCCCTCATTATAATGAGGAGAGAATGGTTTAATCTTTTATGAAATTATCCATATTTTCATGTGTGTATTATTAAAGAGTAACATTTGGTACACACGTATTTTTCTCATTTCATGTTATAATGGATAGAATCCTGAAACTGACAATAAATTTTATCTTTTGCTTTCATCAAACTCTCTCTTCACCCCATTTAAATGGAATTGTTTCTTTTTAGAGTATATTTTGTATTTTAAATTAGAAGAATTGTCAAATTCAATTTTCTATTTGAAATGACATAATTAACAAAAATTTATGTGGTACCCATAATAAATATTCGATCTTCCAACCTTATTAAAAATCTTATTAAGTCACTAACTCAAATGACCATTGTTTTAAATGAGTTTTTAACTCTTTTTTTTTTCATTGTCTTGTTTCTCAACCGGCAGATGGAGTAATATAGGGTCCACAAAAATAGATATAGAACTTCTTTGGAATTTTACTTGTTTGTGTTGCATTAGTTTTTGTTCTTTATGTCAATAGAGAAAACAATGTAAGAGAGTTTAAATAGGTATTTAAAAGTGATCTCTTAAACAAGTAAAGATAAAAAAGACAAAAGGAGCAATATTAATTTATATCTCATATTGGATCTAGTAAATAAATATCTTATAGTTTTCTTGATTAATACGAATTGAAGAAATATAATTCTAAGGTACATTCCATAACAATGACACACGATGCTTTTTTTCTTCTTCTATTAAAATGTTTAGCTGTAAAACTATATTTGAAGTTTAGTAAAATTTGAGACTTCAAAAAACAAAATATATTGACTTATCTCTTAAGATTCATGTAAAACAATACGGTAGATTATAAAGTTCAAGATCAAAATGGAAAAATAAAGTAATAAAATGAAAACATATTTTTAATATAATAAAATTTCATACATAAATGAAAAGTACTCTTCTCACTTTCCCTTTAAATTTCTTCCTTTCCTTTTGTTCTCTATACACTCATGCACAAGAATGTTATAGTAAAACGACAGCAAAATGTGTTCTCTTATGCTTTCTATACAAGAAATAAATTCAAAATGAAAACTTACCGAAAATGTAATGAGATAGAAAGATATAGGGAGATCATTGTAATATATCATTACGAACATATCACTCATCTCCAAGAGCAAAGTAAAACAAAACATAACACAGACTACATGTTAATATGTATCTGATCTTTACCTTACTAGAACCTTGCCAAATATCATCTTACAAATGAACTAATATGCATATCTTAAAATAAAAATTAATAATACATTTAATATATAATAATTTTCTATAATAAATCAAACAATTTTCTACTACAAAACTTAAAATGGTTATTAAGTTGCTTTTAAATTTCGGGGATGTTACAATATAAAAGATCTAAAATTGATTTGAATGTTATTTAGTTTTCACCTTAATAATTTTTCATATTAAAATTTAGTTCGTTATAAATATACTAACATGTAATCATCAACAATAGATGTATCGACATTAAGAAACTAAATAATTTTTTATTATTGCACACTAAAGGAAAATAAGTAGGACCGATATGCACAATCTATTTTAACTATATGTATAGTTATTTCGAAATTTTATAAATCAATAGAAAATATGAATAATTAAAGCACGATTCGGAATAATACATCCACATGGTTTATCTCCTAATGAAAAATTAAGTATTTCCTTTTAAAATATTTTTTAAATTATACTTTCTACATAAGGACAATATTATGAATTTTAAATATCAAGTCTTTCCATCCATGGTTAATTTATGTTTTTTCAATTTTATATTCTTAATTTAGAAACCAACATGAAACTCGAAACCAATAAACAAACTAAATAAGTATCGACTAACAAATAAACTGAAGCGGTTGCACTTAGCCATGAGCAGTTTAATACCGCCAAAACATATACAAAGACAACTAATTTTCTGAAAGAGGGGCTATGATTTTAAATCCCAAATTTAAATTTCTTAATGGAAAAAAAATAAAAATTATTTGGCCTAAAATTGTTTAGAAACCAATATAGGTATAATGTTAAACGAACTAGCAATTTCTTAATAATCTTAACATCTTTCGTGTGTAACTACCTCCTTAAATATCCAAGCTAACCGAGTTTCATTGAACTAAAATAATATAATAACAAATTGTTGTTTATATACAAATATCTCTCATTTATCGATCACTTTCAATATTCAATTCACTTTACCACATATCTCAATCTCTCTATTGAAACAAAATGCAGAAAACAAACTCAAATATAGAGATGTTAAGGGTGCAAGCACTATCAATTCTTTGTACACCTCGCCCTTTCCATGATTTTACTTGCTTATCTCCAATTCAAGATAAACTTGATCCATTTTGTGGCATAAAAGACCAAATAAGTGACGATGGATCTTTCGGTTTTGATAACTTTGCTTTCATTCAAGATAATCCTGATTCATATTGTAGCACAAAAAACCAAATTGACAACAAAACTATTTTAGATTTTGAAGTCTTTGCTCCCGTTCAAGAAAAATTTGAATCACGTTGTAGCGCCAATCAACAAATTCAAAAAAGTGATGAAGAAAATAATGAAGAACAAGAATTTAGTTTTGCACCCACTGATGTCCAAGAAATGCATATATTTGCCGAGGACATATTTGAAAGTGGAAAAGTCCGAGCATTACTCCCTACTTTTGACCAATCCCTTCAATTCTTCCCCACCACAAATAGCAATGCGTCACATCCTCGACCTCCGCTAATGAACATCTTTATTAAGAATCCCATAAATCAACAATCAACATTGAGTGGTATTTCTAAAGAAACTCAAAATGAGATATTGCAAAATATTACAACGAAGGCTTCAAGTGAATGTTATGAGAAAAGCAACTCCTCAGGGTCATCGAATCTATGGAGATTTAGAAAAAATTTATATCTTCGAAGTAATAGTGACCATAAGGATTCTTTTGTTATATTGAATCCTTCAGTGCCAAAAAAGACAATCAAGCCCAAGGTAGAAAACGTCATTGTTAAAAAGAAGAAGTGTGAACAACCCCAAAATACTTTAACGGCTTATGAGAAGCTTTATGTGAAAAATAAAACAAGAAATGGGAGCAATAAACGGAGATCATTTTTGCCATACAAACACCAGCTATTCGGATTCTTCGCCAACATGCACGGATTAAGTAGAAATCTGCACCCCTTTTAAGATCGAATTACCAACTTTTTTAATTGTTGAGGATTCATCTAATTTTGACAATGTAGATTAGTTTAATGTACATAATATTTAGATAATAAACGTTAGGATTTATTTTTCTCTTGATAAAAAAATCAAGTGCTTATACTTCCCCTCAGTATAACGAGGAGATAATGGATTAATCTTTTATGAAATTATCCATATTTTCATGTGTGTATTATTAAAGAGTAACATTTGGTACACACGTATTTTTCTCATTTCATTTTATAATGGATAGAATCTAGAAACTGTCAATAAATTTTATCTTTTGCCTTCCTCAAACTCTCTCTTCACCCCATTAAAATGGAATTGTTTCTTTTTAGAGTATATTTTGTATTTTAAATTAGAAGAATTGTCAAATTCAATTTTATATTTGAAATGACATAATTAACAATAATTTATGCGGTACCCATAATAAATATTCGATCTTCCAACCTTATTAAAAATCTTATTAAGTCACTTCCTCAAATGACCATTGTTTTAAATGAGATTTTAACGCATTTTTTCTATCATCGTCTTGTTTCTCAACCGGCAAATGGAGTAACATAGGGTCCACAAAAATAGATATAGAACTTCTTTGGATTTTTACTTGTTTGTTTTGCATTGGTTTTTGTTCTTTATGTCAATAGAGAAAACAATGTGAAGAGAGTTTAAATAGGTATTTAAAAGTGATCTCTTAAATAAGTAAAGATAAAAAAGACAAAACGAGCAACATTAATTTATATCCCATATTGGATCTAGTAAATAAGTATCTTATAGTTTTCTTGATTAATAAGAATTGAAGAAATATAATTCTAAGGTACATTCCATAACAATGGCACGCGATACTTTTTTTCTTCTTCTATTAAAATGTTTAGCTGTAAAACTATATTTGAAGTTTAGTAAAATTTGAGACTTCAAAAAACAAAATATATTGACTGATCTCTTAAGATTCATGTAAAACAATACGGTAGATTATAAAGTTCAAGATCAAAGTAGAAAAATAAAGTAATAAAATGAAAACATATTTTTAATATAATAAAATTTCATATATAAATGAAAAGTACTCTTCTCACTTTCCCTTTAAATTTCTTCCTTTCCTTTTTTTCTCTATACACTCATGCACAAGAATGTTCTAGTAAAACGACAGCAAAATGTGTTCTCTTATGTTTTCCATGCAAGAAATAAACTCAAAATCAAAACTTACCGAAAATGTAATGAGATAGAAAGATATAGGGAGATCATTGTAATATATCATTACGAACATATCACTCATCTCCTAGAGCAAAGTAAAAAAAAACATAACACAAACTACATGTTAATATGTATCTGATCTTTACCTTACTAGAACCTTGCCTAATATCATCTTACAAATGATCTAACATGCATATCTTAAAATAAAAATTAATAATACATTTAATATATAATAATTTTCTATAATAAATCATACAATTTTCTACTACAAAACTTAAAATGGTTATTAAGTTGCATTTAAATTTTGGGGATGTTACAATATAAAAGATCTAAAATTGATTTGAATGTTATTTAGTTTTCACCTTAATAATTTTTCATATTAAAATTTAGTTCGTTATAAATATAATAACATGTAATCATCAACAATAGATGTATCGACATTAAGAAACTAAATAATTTTTTATTATTGCACACTGAAGGTAAATAAATAGGACCGATATGCACACTCTATTTAAACTATATTTATAGTTATTTGGAAATTTTATACATCAATAGAAAATATGAAAAATTAAAGCCCGATTCAAAACAATACATCCACATGGTTTATCTCCTAATGAAAAATTAAGTATTTCCCTTTTAAAATATTTTTTAAAATATACTTTCTACATAAGGACAATATTATGAATTTTAAATATAAAGTCTTTCCATCCATGGGTAATTTATGTTTTTTCAATTTTATTTTGTTATTCTTAATTTAGAAACCAACATGAAACTCGAAACCAATAAACAAACTAAATAAGTATCGACTAACAAGTAAACTGAAGCGGTTGCACTTAGCCATAAGCAGTTTAATACCGCCAAAACATAATAACAGACAAGTAATTTTCTGAAAGAGGGGCTATGATTTTAAATCCCAAATTTAATTTCCTTAAAGAAAAAAAAATAAAAATTATTTGGCCTAAAATTTTTTAGAAACCAATATAGGTATAACGTAAAACGAACTAGCAATTTCTTAATAATCTTAACACCTTCTGTGTGTAACTACCTCCTTAAATATCCAAGCTAACCGAGTTTCATTGAACTAAAATAATACAATAACAAATTGTTGTTTATATATAAATATCTCTCATCTATCGATCACTTTCAATATTCAATTCACTTTACCACATATCTCAATCTCTCTATTGAAACAAAATGCAGAAAACAAACTCAAATATAGAGATGTTAATGGTGCAAGCACTATCAATTCTTTGTACACCTCGCCCTTTCCATGATTTTACTTGCTTATCTCCAATTCAAGATAAACTTGACCCATTTTGTGGCATAAAAGACCAAATAAGTGACGATGGGTCTTTCGATTTTGATAACTTTTCTTTCATTCAAGATAATCCTGATTCATATTGTAGCACAAAAAACCAAATTGACAACAAAACTATCTTAGATTTTGAAGTCTTTGCTCCCGTTCAAGAAAAATCTGAATCACGTTGTAGCACCAATCAACAAATTCAAAAAAGTGATGAAGAAAATATTGAAGAACAAGAATTTAGTTTTGCACCCACTGATGTCCAAGGAATGCATATATTTGCCGAGGACATATTTGAAAGTGGAAAAGTCCGAGCATTACTCCCTACTTTTGACCAATCCCTTCAATTCTTCCCCACCACAAATAGCAATGCTTCACATCCTCGACCTCCGTTAAAGAACATCTTTATTAAGAATCCCATAAATCAACAATCAACATTGAGTGGTATTTCTAAAGAAACTCAAAATGAGATATTGCAAAATATTACAACGAAGGCTTCAAGTGAGTGTTATGAGAAAAACAACTCCTCAGGGTCATCGAATTTATGGAGATTTAGAAAAAATTGATATCTTTGAAGTAATAGTGACCATAAGGATTCTTTTGTTATATTGAATCCTTCAGTTCCAAAAAAGACAATCAAGCCCAAGGTAGAAAACGTCATTGTTAAAAAGAAGATGGGTGAACAACCCCAAAATACTTTAACGGCTTATGAGAAGCGTTATGTGAAAAATAAAACAAGAAATGAGAGCAATAAACAGAGATCATTTTTGCCATACAAACACCAGCTACTCGGATTCTTCACCAACATGCACGGATTAAGTAGAAATCGGCACCCCTTTTAAGATCGAATTACCAACTTTTTTAATTGTTGAGGATTCATCTAATTTTGACAATGTAGATTACTTTAATGTACATAATAATTAGATAATAAATGTTAGGATTTATTTTTCTCTTGATAAACAAATCAAGTGCTTATACTTCCCCTCATTATAATGAGGAGAGAATGGATTAATCTTTTATGAAATTATCCATATTTTCATGTGTGTATTATTAAGGAGTAACATTTGGTACACACGTATTTTTCTCATCTCATGTTATAATGGATAGAATCCTGAAACTGACAATAAATTTTATCTTTTGCCTTCATCAAACTCTCTCTTCACCCCATTTAAATGGAATTGCTTCTTTTTAGAGTATATTTTGTATTTTAAATTAGAAGAATTGTCAAATTCAATTTTCTATTTGAAATGACATAATTAACAATAATTTATGTGGTACCCATAATAAATATTCGATCTTCCAACCTTATTAAAAATCTTATTACGTCACTACCTTAAATTACTATTGTTTTAAATGAGATTTTAACGCATTTTTTCTATCATTGTCTTGTTTCTAAACCGGCAAATGGAGTAACATAGGGTCCACAAGAATAGATATAGAACTTCTATGGATTTTTAGTTATTTGTTTTTCTTTGCATTGGTTTTTGTTCTTTATGTCAATAGAGAAAAGAATGTGAAGAGAGTTTAAATAGGTATTTAAAAGTGATCTCTTAAATAAGTAAAGATAAAAAAGACAAAACGAGCAACATTAATTTATATCCCATACTGGATCTGGTAAATAACTATCTTATAGTTTTCTTGATTAATACGAATTGAAGAAATATAATTCTAAGGTACATTCCATAACAATGGCACGCGATACTTTTTTTCTTCTTCTATTAAAATGTTTAGCTGTAAAACTATATTTGAAGTTTAGTAACATTTGAGACTTCAAAAAACAAAATATATTGACTTATCTCTTAAGATTCAAGTAAAACAATACGGTAGATTATAAAGTCCAAGATCAAAATAGAAAAATAAATTAATAAAATGAAAACATATTTTTAATATAAGAAAATTTCATACATAAATGAAAAGTACTCTTCTCACTTTCCCTTTAAATTTCTTCCTTTCCTTTTGTTCTCTATACACTCATGCACAAGAATGTTCTAGTAAAACGACAGCAAAATGTGTTCTCTTATGTTTTCCATGCAAGAAATAAACTCAAAATGAAAACTTTCCGAAAATGTAATGAGATAGAAAGATATAGGGAGATCATTGTAATATATCATTACGAACATATCACTCATCTCCAAGAGAAAAGTAAAAAAAAAAACATAACACAAACTACATGTTAATATGTATATGATCTTTACCTTACTAGAACCTTGCCTAATATCATCTTACAAATGAACTAACATGCATATCTTAAAATAAAAATTAATAATACATTTAATATATAATAATTTTCTATAATAAATCATACAATTTTCTACTACAAAACTTAAAATGGTTATTAAGTTGCTTTTAAATTTCGGGGATGTTACAATATAAAAGATCTAAAATTGATTTGAATGTTATTTAGTTTTCACCTTAATAATTTTTCATATTAAAATTTAGTTCGTTATAAATATAATAACATGTAATCATTAACAATAGATGAATCGACATTAATAAA